ATATAAAAATACTATACAACATAATATAAAAAAATATAATTAAAACATATTATAAAACATAATATAAAATCCTATAAGACGTAATATAAAAAATTTTATATAACATAATGCTAAAAATACTGTGAAATATAATGTGAAAAATACTGTGAGACGTAATGTGAAAATTCTATATCATGGGTAATAAAAGTTCAATGTCGAATCATAGAGAAAAATAAAAAATGTCACTATACAATTTGGTCTGGCCTTAAAAGAGCAATGTTTGTACTTCTAGAAGAACTTGTAATTGATGAAATGGTGATTAAAGAATATGATGATGAATGAAGAAACTGATTAGTAGATATCAGGTATATTAAAAGTAAATTGATGATGAATAATGACAAAAGGAAAAAGAATAGAATTGTTAGTAAGGTGAATGAAAGAACATCAATAGAAATGAACACAACGAAGAACACATACCTGATATTCAAATAGTAGATGAAGATCTAGAAGGTTACAGGCACAAATTCGATTGTATTGATAAAACTATTTTGATGAATTGAATCAAAAGAATGAAGTTAAGATCAGAATTATATCGGAAAGCTCGCATAAAAAGAAGTCATTCAAACATCATCAAAAATTAGTTAGTTACTGTTATCAAAATAGAAATAGAACTGAAAAAGAAGATTATAAGGCATTCGAATATTGTGAGAACATTGTTGAACGTGAACATTCTAATGGACAAAGTAGCTCTAAAACTGCTATGAAAATGGAATTAGAGATGAAAAGAATAAACATAGGCATCTTTTTATTGCCAGAAAGTTGCCAATACGGGTAATAATAGTGTTGGCCATAAAACTTTCGATCTCAGGTATAGCTATAAAAATGGAATCCAAGTTGATGATAATGGAACTTATGCTACCAAATATTGTCTTCAACATGGAATCAGAACTGAAAAAAATAATTATAAAGCGACTGCTTATCAAAAGCCCAGAAATTTAGGTGGTGCAGATGAAACGTATTGTAATAGAATTGGAGTAGAAAAAGACAAATATAATACGTTTATTAACTATTAAAGAAACCCCAGGATAAGACTTACTAAAGAAACACTTAACGCTAGTCACTATTATCAGAGAATAGGAATCAGAAAGAATAAAATAAAGAACAGCAAAATTGAAGATAAATATGATATGATCTATGATGTAACAAGTGCATATTTTAGTGATAATGAAGACTCAAAATGTGAAATTAATAAAAAGTACTGCAATGTACCTGATGATGAAAAGAGAGTGATAGACAACTATCGGTGAGATGAATCGGAAATTGAGATTGATCAAATGTTGCTAACCTTGAGCAACAATATTGACAGTAGAAGTGGCACTGTAAAGGATAAATATAAAGCACCTACTAGTTATCAAACACTTGCGAAGATGAATAATAAGACACATGATTTTGCCAAATTGAATCAAAATAGGATTGTTGAAAAAGATAAATGTAAAGCATCCAATGATTATCAAAAACCAGCAGAAATTAGAATTGGTTATACTAATGGTACATATAATCTTAGACATTACTTTAAAAATGGGAATGTTGTTGAAATTGATAGGTGTGTGGCATGTGGAGTACCTTTCATTGTGTTTTTGTGTTGGTTTACTTTTATTATTTCTTGTGGATTATCTTTATTATTTTGATGTTCTTGTGGAACTCAAATTTAAGGGTCGGAAGAATTGTAAAAGGCAGGAATGCCTATCCAAAAAAAGGTTGTTGTTGCAGTAATCAGTAGTACAAATTTCCGGAATTCCTAAAATTTCTAGAATTTGGAAAATTTAAGAAAAAGTAGAAAAAATTAGAATAGCAGGAAAAATCAGAATAACAAGACAAATTAGAAAAGCTAGAAAAATCAGAATTCGCGTTATTCCTGTATAAGTAAAAATAATTATATAAGTGGAGATTCTCTTCAGAAATAAAACATAACTTTTGGGAGCTCAAAGTTTGTAGTTAAAGAAATCTAAGTACTTAACTTGTGAATAGTTCACAGAGTTCAAAACCTTCTAAGCTTTTGAAGTAGAAGTATTTGTTCTACTAACTCTCCAATAAAATAAATCTGTATTAATGATTGGAATTCGTGACCAAATCCCATGATTCTGAATAAAGAGATTCATTACGTAATCAAGAGCTCTAATTTGACACTATCACTAAGAATCCAATTCACTCTAGTTACTTGAATCAAGTCTTTTCACGCCTCAATCGTTGTCTTACCAGTATTTACTAATTTTCATCTCACTTTTCTGATTCAATCAGGATGCAAGATTAGGTGTAATGTGAAGATCAAAACAACAATCGCTTTTTTCAAAAAGTCATTTATTTCAAAATTTCACCTAAGAAATCATCTTTTGGACACTAACAAAAAAATTTCTTGCAAAATTTTAGTATAATTTTACTCACTAATGCTAACCAAAACCCTAACTTAGATGTCACATTTTAATTAGAAGGTGACATATAAACAATTCTAGCCAATAGGAAAGTGAGGCCGAAATTAGTAAATGCTTTTCTATATATTTTTGTTTGGATTCTAAATCGATCTTGATGGTTTGACATATAATGTTCCTTCTAACCCATCTCTATATATTTCTGTAAATAATAAATGCATTATATTCATCTATTTTCATTTTTATAACAAACTCTAACATTTAATATTTCACGAGAATCACTCATTCTTAGTAGATTTCTGGTAATGCTTTATATCCATTCCAGTTCCATTAAAATAATACTCAAACAT